AAAGACCCTGATGCTGGAAAAGATTCAGGGCAGGAGGCAAAAGGGACGACAGAGGATGAGATGGCTGGATGTCATCACCGACTTGATGGACATGAGTTTGAGTAGACTCCGGGAGTTGGTGATGGACAGGGAGGCCTGGCGTGCTGCGATTCATGAGGTCTCAAAGAGTCGGACACGACTGAGCGACTGAACTGAACTGAACTGAACCCAGACAGAGTGTTAAAAAACAGTACTTTGCCAACTAAGGTCCGTCTAGTCAAAGCTATGACTTTTCCAGTAGTCATGTATGGATGTGAGAGCTGGACAATAAAAAAGGCACAGTGCCAAAGAATCAAGGCCTTTGAAGTGTAGTGCTGGAGAAGACTCTAATAAGTTCCTTGGACAACAAGGAGATCAAATCAGTCAGTCCTAAAGGAAATCAACCCTCAGTATTCACTGGAAGGACTGATGGTGAAGCTGAAGCTCCGATTCTTTGGCTTCCTGATGTGAAGGGCCAAGTTATTGAAAAATATCCTGATGCTGGTGTTAAAAGCAGGAAGAGAAGGGGATGACAGAGGATGAGATGGTTCGATGGTATCACCAACTCAATGGACATGAGTTTGAGCAAATTCTGGGAAGTAGTGAAGGACAGGGAAGTCTGGAATACTGCAGACCATGGGGTTGCAAAGAGTCAGACCCAACTAAGCAACTGAACAATAGCAACAGATTTTTTTTAAAAAATCCAGTCTATTTTTTCAAGAAACTTTTCAATCTGGTAGAATGACAAACAATTGAAATATTATGAAACTGTACTTTGATATAAGCATAAAAAGCAATGGAGGTACACAGGGCTGGTATCCCTCTGGTCTTGGGTAATTAGGAGAGGTCCTACAGGTAGCAATGTTTTCATTATAATTAGTTTGAATCATTATGACTAACATGAGATTAGAGCAGCACTGTCTGAAAGAAATGTGATGCTAGCCACATATATGATTTACATTTCAAAGCGAAAAAGGGACAGGTGATTGTTAATAATATATATTTTTTAACCCAGTGTAAAAAGCATATAAAATTTACCATCCTAAGTAAGAGTAAGTACATCTGTAAGTGTACAGTATAGTAAATTATCTGTACATTGTTATGTGACAGATATCTGAACATATTCATCTTGCAAAAGTGGTATTTATACCCATTGAACAGCAGCTCCCCATTTCCTCCTCCTCCTGAGCCCCAGCTAACCATAGTCTACATTCTGTTATTATGTTAAACACCTCTTAGAAGTGGTATCATGCAATATTTGACTTTTTGTTACTGGTTTAGTTCACTTACCATAATGTTTCTCAGAGTTCATCTATGTTGTGACATGTGACAGGTTTCCTTTTTTTGAAGGCTGAGAAATGTTCTGAGCTGTGGTAGCTGCCACATTTTCCTCATTCATTCATTTGTTGTCATTCAGGTTGTTTCTACCTCGAGGCTATTGTGAATCATACTTCAGTGAACATTTTTTCTATAAGCTTAAGTATTTTATGTTTAATTATTTCATCTAAGAAACTTCTATTTTGTGTTTTAGGCCATAGTTTAAAATTTTTCATTGTCTAAGTTCAGTATTAATTCAACAAGTTTTTGCCTCCTTTAAGCTATCTTTGTATAAGAAACATACATTTTTAAAGGATAAATATCCGAACTAGCAAATGAATTCAATAATCAGAACCTTGTATTCCTTATATATTTTTCTATTTTGTATTTATATGTCTTTGAAAAGCCTAGTTAATAAAAAAATGAGAATTAGTTTCAGTGG